AAGCAACCCATCAGATGGAGAGTTCAAAACACTGGTTATAAGGACATTCAGGGACTTAATGAGGACCTGAGCAGCATAAAAAAGACCCAGTCAGAAACAAAGGATACTCTAATTGAAATAAAGAACAATTTACAAGGAAACAACACTAGAGTAGATGAAGCCGAGGATCAAATCAATGATTTGGAACATAAGGAAGCAAAAATCAACCACGCAGAACAAGAAGAAAAAAGAATCCAAAAAAATGAGGATACTATAAACAGCTTCTGGGACAACTTCGAGAGGTCCGACATTCGCATCATAGGGGTGCCAGAAGGAGAAGAGAAAGTGCGAAAAATTGGAAATCTGTCTGAAAAAATAGTGAAAGAAAACTTGCCTAATTTGGTGAAAGAAAACATGCCTAATTTGGTGAAGGAAATAGACATGCAAGTCCAGAGAGCACAGAGTCCCAATTATGATGAATGCAAAGAGGCCCATGCCAAGACACATCATAATTAAAAGGCCAAAGGTTAAAAATAAAGAGAGACTCTTAAAAGCAGCAAGAGAAAAGAAGTTAGTTATCAGGTGGTTGCCAGATGGGAGGGCAGAGGGGGAGAATGGGTGAAGAGGTGAGGGGATTAAGAAGTACAATTATGGAAATAAAGAACAAACTGGCAGAGACCAGAGGGGAGGGGAGAGGAGGATAACAGGAGAAAGAAGGGGAAGGGGCAGGCAAAGGAACGCAAATAGAGGACTCATGGGCAAGGACAACGGGGCGGGGGGTAATTGACTGTGGGAACGAGGGGAGGCCTGGGTAAGGAAGAGTAATGGGGAAAAAGGTGGAACAACTGTAACTGAACACCGGTAAGTAAAATTTTTTTAAAGAGAAGTACAAATAGGTAGTTACAGAATAGCCATGGGGATATAAAGTACAGTATAGGAAATGGAGTAGCCAAAGAACTTATGTGCATGACCGGTTGGCATGAACGATGGTGGCGGGACTGCCTGAGGGAGTGCCAGGTGGATGGGGAAGGCAAAGGGGGGGAAATATATCAACTGTGATTGCATAATCAATAAAATATAATTTTTTTTTTAAATTACCTAGTTTTGGCTCAAAACTGATGCCACATTAGAACCATCTTTTGCTGATCAATTAGTTCAGGGCCACATTTTTTAAAATGGGGTGGAATTTATTTAACATGCTGAAGGGCAAAGATGAGCTCTTAGTAAACTGATGTTTACGAAGTTGTGTTTTCGATGTCATGGTTTTACTTATGATATGTCTAGATCTTTTTGTGTGTGTGTGTGACCTTTAAACATGGAGTCTAATATTCCTCTCCTTGAATATGAACTATACTTAGTGACTAGTGTCTAAAATAACAGAACACGGTGAGTGTGAAAGGGTATGGCGTCCAAGATTAGGAGAGAGTGGCCTGCTCCTCCTTCTCTCTTGACCTGCTTGCTCTGGTTGAAGCCACCTGCCATGTTATGAGGACACTCAAGTAGCCTCATGGAGGAGCCCATGTGACAAGGGACTGAGGCCCCCTGTAAACACCCAGCAAGGGACTGAGGCCTCTCTCTGTCAACAGCCATGTGAATGGTCTACCTTGGGAGCAAATCACCCAGCCCCAGCCAAGCCCTCAGAGGACCGCAGCTTCATAAAAGACGCTCAGCTCCCATCCCCCAGTGAGCTGCTCCCAAGTGTGGGACCCACAGAAACAGATTTCATAATGAGTTAATGTTTACTGTTTATTTAATCTTCTAAATTTGGGCATAATCTGTTATGTAATGATAGACAACTAATACAGGGGCTCTCTTAGGCACAAAGTAAAGCATACAATACTGCATTTTAGTTAAGGGTGTGTGTGTGTTTGTGTGTTCACATACATAGTATAAAGTGCACAACTTAAATGTACAACTCAAGGAATTTTTACTTATATGCATATACCCCTGTATATGATATGGAGCATTTTCATTGCTCTCAGACTTTAAGAAATTCCCTTATGCCCATATCCACTTAATAACTCTTCCCAGAGGTAGCCACTTTTCTGAGTTCTATAATTAGAGATTAGTTTTGTGTGTTCTTGAACTTCATATAAATGGAATCATTCAGTGTGTGTTATCTTTGCCTTTTTTTCACTCAGCAGAATACATTTCAAATTCATGATGTTACATGTTTCAGTAGTTTCTTCCTTTTATTGCTGGAAAGTATTCTATTGCACAGTTATGCCAAATTTATATGCCTGCAGACAGACATTTGAATTATTTCCAATTTGAGGCTACTATAAATAACACTAATATGAATATTCTTGTGCCAGTCCCTTTTGTGGACCTATATATTCAATACTCTTGGGTGAATTCGTAGGAGTGGAATTGATGGGTCATAAGGCAGGTATATGTTTAACTGTCAAACCATTTCCCAAAGCAGTTGGGTCATTTTATATCCCCACTCACAGTATTTTTTTTTTTCATTTGGAGCAACCCTAGCTTGAAAAGAAAGAAAAACAAAAGTCAGTATTAATAAAAAATGAGTAGCACTGAGTAAAGAGTTTCCTAAATTATTTGGAAGAGACAAGAAAACCAGCCTACCAGGCACAAAGCTATCTGACAACTGAACCTCCTGGCAAATACTTTTATTTTGATTGTTGGTTTGGAAATAACTTTAGCCGCTTAGATCAAAGGTTTTCACAAAGACGATTCAAGCAGGGACCCAAATCCTGAGAGGAGAAGAATTTACATATAGAACCCTTCTGTTAAATGGAAAAGGAAAGACTCTTTCGTCCCAGTGCTCTTGTTTACGGGGCTAGCCCAGCGCTGTGTCAAATGATGCCAAATGCAGAACGCCCCCAGGCACTGAGTCAGCTTTGCATTCCCCACGGGTTCTGTTTGAAACAAACAGATCGAAGAACTTGACTAACAATGCACTCTAAGGCACTGGACCGCCATAGGCATCAGCCGAGCTTAGGCCCGGCAGCTCGTCTCCTGCTTGCTCACAGCAGATGAGCTATTTCCAAGTTCTCCCTGTTTCTGAAACTGCCCGGACACCCGCAGTGTTATTTTCATTGGTGGTACGGAGCTCAGTGAGAGAAAACAAAAACTATAGAGCCAGAATATCAACTCCAATCTCAGCACCTTCAGGAGATGGTCAATGAGTTCTTTTTTTCTATTAGGAACCTTCAAAATCGCTACAGGCTGTAGGTCCAAAAACGAAAATGGTTAAGACAAAAGCCCCTCTTCCTCCTGCTGTCAGTGGGTGAAGAGCAGAGAAGGGACACGATGACATCTAGAAAAATCCCAGGACAGCAGTGTGGTGAGCAGAGGGCCGTTCCACACAGAGAACGGCAGTGACCCAGGGTCCCAGGGTCCCAGGGTCCCAGGGACCCAAGCCCACCGGGAGATGATTATTTCCAGACAACTCAGGAAAGACTGGGGCTTGGTCCTGGACAAACTAACAGATTTTCTTATTGCTTTTATTATTCTAAGAGGCCTAGATGCCCGGGAGAGAAGAATAAGAAATTCCTTTTTTTTTTTTTTTTTTTTGACAATGCGCTCCCGTGTGTAATGTGCACCCACATTTTTGTGTGCATTATACATGGGATTATTATACCCATGGTATGTAATCATTATACCCATGTATAATGTGCATCCTTATTTTTCCCTCAATATTTGGGGAGGAAAAGTGCCCATTATTCATGGCAAAATGCAGTACCTACCACTTGCCAACACTTAAGCACCAGCACTTAAGCCCCAATTGACTCAATCCCCACAACAGCCCCCTGAAGCAGGCCCCATGATCCCCGTGGCAAAGATGCCACAAGATAGTTAACTAACGTTTGGAAGTTACCCAACTACAAGGAGGAGGAGTCAGGACGTAAACCTGAGTCTCCCTATTCCTTCTCCTTCCTTTACTAAGAGCAAATAAAGGTTCAAAGAAGCTTTTAAATGACCATTACTACCCTTAGCCACAGGGCTAGCGGTCGGGAAATACACTTGAAAAGGAGAGTACACTTTTACCTTATGTTCTACTTCTAATGACCCCATGGCGCTCCAGCGCCCAGTTCTAGCTTGTATTTCCAGGAGGGAGGCTTAGCAAAAAGCCTCATCCTGTGAACGTCTTGCCTCCCTGTGCCTCCATGGTCCTTTGTAACTGCCCGTGAGCTTCACAGGTTGGTGGGTGTTCTGCTTTCCCCTCCAAACTGGGAGGACGGCTTCCCTGCCATCTGACTCACTTTTCTAGTGTCAAGGAAAGGCCCCCTGGCCTTCTCTATTCACCGTCTCATCTAGAGACGTTCTCTGGCTCTGCAGCTGTGGCGTTTGTCTAAGCTGCCTAAACACGAAAGCTTGACTTCCATCCCTGTCCATCATGCGGTGCGGGGCCTTCTTGATAAGAGCAGGTTGGAGCGCACTTGTCTGGTTTGCCCTTATTAAACTGTGGAGGTCACTTCTCTGCGAGGAACTGTAATCGGGGAGCCCTTGCTTCTTTCCCACAAATGTGTCTCTTCCAGAGCCTTTTTCAACTACAGCTCATTTCTCTCGGTTTCACATGGCGGGCGTCTGAACAGAATTAAAAGCATAAGCACGTGCAAAAATAATCCGCTTCCCAAGATAGCAAATGCTGAGAAGTTCTATATTAGAACACACTGTGAGTGCTGACTGGCTGGGGCATGATTAACCTAATAGGCTTAAAGTTCCACTTGCCATTCACATCTGTCAGGACCCAAGCAAAGCACAAGGCCCCTAATCCATGAGACCGAGGTCCTTGACAATTGCCCTGCTGCTCACTAACAGCAGAGGGTTCAAACTTGGAACAGCAGAGGACAGCGGGCACCACTGCCTCTACATGGCGGGGCCAGGGAAGTAGGCAAGCTCGTGCCGCGCTGAGGACGTGGTACCATGGACTTCAAAGGAGCCTGGCCTGGAAATTGCCTGGATTGACTAGTAAGACTGCCTTTTGCCACTATTTCCAATGCGATTCTGTGGAAACTATGAAGGTTGCGGGTGGGAGATGACCACAGGCTGAAATCATGGGGTGTACACCTTCCCACAGTGACATTGTTAACAGCGTGGCTAAGAGTAGCATCCAGTTTTTTAAAAAACCCAAAGCAATTCTGCCAGGAAGTCAGGGGGACAGTGAAAGATGCTCTGTCCCTTTGCTGGCTCAAAGCTCCACCTGCTATGACTCTGGGGGGAACTTTTCCCAGGGACAGAGGCCAGCGGAGGTGCAGCCAGGTCCCAGATGGACACAAACCATGGCTGAAGGTAGAGATTCCACTGCAGGCACAAAGAAAGATCTAGAAGGGCGGATCTCAGAAACCCAAACTTCCCCATCCCAGCTGAACAAGTCGCAAAGCCACAGGGCTAAGGACATTCCATTCAAGACGCAGTGCTCCCATGAGTCACAAAGAGCAATCTTTTCTGAGGAAGAAAATGCAGAAAGTGTTACCCATGAGACCTCCCTGTGGGAGGGGGAGCCAAAATGCCACGGGTCAGGGCAACAGGACCTTCGTTGCCAGACCACCCCTCTTGCTCAGGGGTCTGAAGGCAAAGTGGACTTTCCCGAGCCCCTCGTGAAGGCCCACCAGCGTGCTTACACCTATCTGCACTCCTGCCTCTCCAAATACGAAGCAGTTCTGAGCCTCACCCATCAAGCCACCCAGACCCAGGAGCTGCTGCAGCCCATGGTCAGCTTCCTGCTGCTGTGCTTCGATGAGGTCAACCAGCTCTTGGGCGAGATCTCCAAGGACGGAGAAGCACTCCTCCGGGAAGTGAGGGAGGACCTGGATTGGCCGTGGAGGAAAGGGCAGCCCCGGGAGCCGCCAGGGCTCCTGCAGCAGCTTCTGCAGTACACAGTCAGCAGGCTGCAGGGCCTCCGTGGCGCGGCGGCCTCGCTCACCAGTGGCTCCCTGGAGGGCTCCAGCAGCTACCTGCAAGCCGCCGCAAGCCACTTGGGAAACAAGCTGAGCACGAAGAGGGCTGTGGACGCACGCCTCCTACAGGCTGTCGGGCAGCTGGAGAGCTTGGCGAGCGGCCACAGTGACCCTGCGGCTCAGGGTCTACCCTTGTGCTCTGAGGACAGTGGCATTGGTGCGGACAGCGAATCTGTGCACCTCGTGGACAAGCTGGGCAGGCAAGCCAGCTGGGACCTAACGCCGGACCCTGCAGACTGGAAGACAGGGATTTCACCCCCAGTGGAGGCCGGGCTGTTGGGACATGCCTGGCAGCAAAGCCCAGTCTGGGTGGGTTTGGATGGACCCCAGGAAAGCCCACTCTCAAGGCCTCCTGAGGCAAAGGTTCAGCCAGCAGCCCAGGGTGGAGCAGGGAGCCCAGGCCCCTCCGGCTCAGGCCCAGAAAATGCTGCCTCCAGGCCCGTGGGACTGGGCAAAAGCAATTCCTATAACTCCTCTGTGGCCGGGATCTCTGTGGAAGCAGGTCTCTCTACAGGCTCTGGGTTGATGGATACTCCATCCCTCAGGGAGGGGGAAGACAGGAGCACAGAGGAGGAGGAAAATGATTTCCATCCAAGGCCGCAGTCTTCACCGGCTGGCCCATTTCGTTCGTACCCCAGGAGGCTTAGGAGCCCCCACACCCAGGAAATGATTCTGAAGATGAAAGAAGCAATCAGTGAAAGGATCAAGTTTGTCCCTGTGTCCACAGGGCACCAGGACTGGGCCGAGGAGGAGGAGAGGGCAGTGATCCCACCAAGACCCAGCACCGTCAGTGACAGCCGGAGGGCCCCCGTGAGGCAGAGGAGGTCCCAGTCAGAGGCGTGTCTTAAGAGCCACAGGGAGGAGCCCACCCTCCCCGAGCTGCAGTGGGTCCAGAGAGACCTCAGCCAGCGGCTGGAGTCCTTCTGCTCCCTGGCCACCCGACGGCAGGGGCCGAGCAGGGAGCAAGTTCTGCAGCCCAGAGCAGCTTCTCTGAGGCCCGACGTCCACTGCAGGGCGGCCCCCAGCAGCCCCACCCCCAGCAGCCCCATCAGCAAGCTGAAGGCCTCTCTGACCAAGAACTGCAGCATTTTACCAAGTCAGGACAAGAGCATTTTGCAGAAATGCAGTCCCTGCCCCGAGGGCGGACGGCCGTGGCAGGGGGCAGCCGGGGGCTTTCCAAATGTCATTCCATCGGGGCAGAGGGTCAGGGAGGCTCCCAGGGCTGAGGACTGGGGTGTCGGGGGCCACCCTCCCAGGACATCAGTCAGGAAACTCATTGAAACTTTCAGTTCCACTGAGAACCTGCAGGCACTGGGGGAGTCCACAGACTCTGGGCCCAACCCCTGCCTTAGGAAGTGGGGGGTCCCCATCATGCCCCCCAGGTTTCCCATTTACAGGGGGCTTGCCCCTTTGTATCCAAAGCCCCGAATTTCTCCAGCGGCATGCAGAGGACCTCTTGTGGGGGGCCCGGGCTGCAGGCCCGTAGCCCCTGTCTTTCCCCCTCTGCGCACGGCGTCCACCGGTGAGGACGTCCACGGCAAAACAGCGGGGGAGGACCCAGAGCTCCTCCCTCCGCCGCCTCTGGAAGTCCTGATGGACAAATCATTCACTTCTCTGGAGCCCCCCAAAAGCAGCAAGCCAGCAGGGAGCTCTCCGGAAGGGACCCACGTGCCAGGGCTGGCAGAGGCCGGCCCTGCCCGGAGGACATGGGCGCCCCCAAAGCTAAGGGCCTCTGTGAGCCCCACTGACCTGCTGCCCAGCAGGAGCACCGCCACCCCCGCCGGGCCCTGCGGCGCAGGGCCGGGGAGCAGCAAGAGCGGCTGCAGTCCTGGAGAGCGGGCCTTGGGCCTCGACCGCCCCCCAGCAGTCAGCCCCGAGGTGGAGGGCGGTGGGGCTCAGAGCCAGGCACGCGTGGGCAGACCCGCGAGCCTCTCCAGGCAGCCCCCGAAGGCAAGCGCCTGGCACCACTCCGGCCACACCTCTGGGCAGCACAGGACCTCAGAACCCAGCCTGCCCAGACCAACTCGGGGGCCACATTCTTCGGAGGCCCCAAGGAAGAGCCAAGAGAGAAGCTCCCCCCTGGTCAGGGGGGCCTCCCCTGCGAGGGCACACTGGGCACCCAGAGCAGACAGAAGCCACCCAAGCCTGCCCTCCTCTCACAGACCCGTTCTGCCCAATGCCCCCTCTGTGCATGGGTCCCCCAGCCCCACAAGCAGCCCCCTGGTGAGCCCCAGGGCACTAAGCCCCACAACAGAAACAAAAGGAGCTTCCCCGCCACCCCAGCACAATCTGCCCAGCCCTCCCCCCGAGAGCTCACTGGCTCAGCACAAGATCCCCAACTCCCCTACCCAGTGCACAGAAGCAATTCTCCCTGCCTCTGGCCCCTCCCCACCCCCTCCAGTGTCCCCGCCACAGGGACACAAGGAAACGAGATATCCTGAAGACAGTCAGGCAGCCGCAGCCAAAGCATCTGGGAAATCGCGGTCCGTGTTCTGCCCAGCTGCCTCCTGTCTGTTTGAAGCTAAATCGCCATTCTCAACAGCCCACCCAGTCACCTCATTACTGCCACCTGAAGCTGGGGGCCCTCGCGGGAGCCCCACACGATGCTGGAGGAGCAGCTCAGGGCCACGGCTGAGAGGGTGCTCACAGCGGGGGATGGCTCTGTGTGCCCTCAACCCTCAGCCCTTCATCAGGCGCGCAGCTTCTGACCGCCAGCCAGGTGTCTGCCTTCACCTGCCTGTCCTGGGCGCCGCCAGCAGCGCTTGGGAGGCCCAGCTTGGCCAGAGCAGGTAAGGAGAGTCCCCGGGGGCCACCGCCTTCAGAGACTGCGATAGAGCCAATGGGCCCTCAGGATTATCTGGGCCAGTAGCTTTCAAATTGTGCTCCTAGAAGAGAGGTGGTTAGAACAAAGGGGTCTAGGAATGTCCGGCCTCCCCCAACCAGCCCCCCAAAACTCCAAGCAACTGTGCTTTCATTTGTCACTCCTATCAGGTTCTTGAGATTTTAATTGAAAAGAGGTTCTGCTAGACTGAAAGTTTAAAACAATCAAGTTCCTCCAGCCACACACAGCCTTTTCTTTAACGGGGTGGGGGGGCGGGAGGGCTGAGATGACCTGACTTGCCCCCCCTCCCCCTGTGGAGTCACTGTCACTCTGTCTAGGACCAGCAGTCTGATTTCTGTCATTTCTGTCGTTTGCATTTCGGTGGGAGGTTCTCAAACTTGTTGGTCCCAATACCCTTTAGACTCTTAAAAAATATTGAGAACACAAAAGAGCCTTTGTATATGTGGGTTGGGCCCGTCCCTTTTTACTGTGTTAGAAATTAAAATTAAGAAATGTTGGAAATATTGGCCCCATTATATGTTAACATGAATAATATATTCTTATAACCATATTTTCCACAACAAAAAAAATCCCGCAAAGCATGGTGCTGTCTTACATTTTTGCCAATCTCTTTAGTGCGTGGCTTCACAGAAAGACAGCTAGATTCTCAGATCTGTTTCTGCCGTCAATCTGCTGTGATATCACACATCATATAGACAGGAAAACTCCACTCTACACTCATAGAAGAATGAGTGAAAAAGGCAGATGATGTCTTAGTATTGCTATTAGCATAGTTTTGACTTCATAGGCCCTCCTTACCAAGTGCCTCTGGCACACCCTGGGGACAAGCCTGGAAAAGCACTGGTCCTGGAGATGGGCCAAATAAAAGTTCCGCTTCCCCATCCCCCAGGGGCCTGGCCTCGCTTCTCTTCTAATCCAGGCTCATCTCCACCCCCCTGCCTTCAGAAGTGTAGAAAGTAAGAACAAGACTGGTCGTCATCAGCACTGAGCACCAGCACCCAGATAGAAGGGTTACCATCCTTGCCCTGGGCAGACGGAGTTCTTTTTTATTTTTTTAATTGAACGGTTTTGAGAGAAAGACATTGATTTGTTGTTGCACTTATTCATGCACTCATTGGTTGCTTCTTGTATGTACCGAACCCTTAACCTTGGTTTATCGGGTTGAGGCTCTAACCGACTGAGCTACTCAGCAAGGGCCTGGCATGGGCTAGGAGTCAGACTATCGTCAGCCTGAGCATTGAACAGACTGGTATGTGCTCAAATGGCTGCTTTACAGACTATATGGAGAAATGCGTCTATTCCAGACTTGTGGCATGGCGGGAAAACGTAAATCTGAGGCCTATGAGAGGGGAACTCTTACCAATGTGTCTTGATATCAGATCAGACAAAGCTCAACGAGCACCAGTCCCTGCTATCTTTGCATTGCCCACAATGTGTAAATCAGCAGTTAATTTCTGCCAGAGTGACATGTCTTAGTGACTTCCCCATCTGTCAAGGCATAAATGGTAATTTATTTCTTTTTTTTTTTTACAAAGTACTCAGCAGTCAATTTTAAATAAAGATATTATCTTGGGAAAGTTGTGCATTATTATAGTTATATAAACTTCCCCAGCCACTTGAAAGAAATGAAGTATTGATTATTTTTGCAAGAATCTTAATGTAACATTGCTCTTTTCTTAAATCCGAAATGAGCTTCCGACAGCACAGTGCCTTCCATCTGAGAGCTCCGATACATGTTAATGCAATATTCCTCACTCTCGCCACTTATTCAGTTATTAAATTGCTAAAGCTATGCCCTTCAGGAGAAAAAACTGGAAAAAACAAGGACAATAAAATGGCATTAATTAAAAATACTAACATTTTAAAACACTAGGAGCAATAATAAAACAACATAAAATTGTTCAAGAAGAAAAGATTGCCCTTCTCTCAGGCTTTTCCTCAGAGAAGGGCAGCCGAAAAGGTTGTTTTAATCACGAAGTCTCAGTTTTTGGAGACATGGTGGGGGGGGCGGGCAGTACTTGTAGCTTGAAAGTCACAGGAGGAGGATTCATAAACAGGCACCTACCTTCCCAAGGCCATGTGGAAGGTCACATGATGACTCACACCCATCCCCCACCCCCAGGAAGACCACACCCCTGAGCCACTCCCAACTCTGCAACTGTGAGTGCAATGGATGTGAAGGGGAAGTGCTCATCCCCCGCCCCCACTCAACCCCGCGAGGTAGGCATTGGGAGCTGAAGCCCGCCAGCTCTAAGAACATGGAGGCTTTCTACTCTGTAGATGACGAGCATGTTTTTCCCTGTCCTCCTGCCTCAGGGACACTATACCAGGAAACTGATCCTGCAACAAGCCAACAGGCCTGTGCCAGAGGGCCAAAAACCGCTCAGAACCTGCTGGCCCCCAAGCAGGGACTCGCAGAAACAGACATAGCCACACCTATGAGACCCGGCCACCAAGCCAGCCTCGCAGGGTGAACCAGCCTGCAGCCGGCATTGACCCCCTTCAGGTCATCCGTGCTGGGCGCAAGCCCCCGTTATTAAAAAAATGATGACATCCGTATCTTCCTGACCTTGGGGACCAGGGAATGGGGAACAGTCCCTGGAGGCGCACCCAGGCAGCCCAGCTACTGAGCTCCAACTGTTGCTAACATGTTGAATCCCCTGGTGGAGGTGCCAGTCCTTAGGTCTCTGCACTTTGTGAGCATTCGAGAAGGTCCAGACGTTTTCTCCTAAATGTGGTGCCCTTAGTCTTTGCCAGGACTGGAACCCCCAGGCAGGGCCTCTCTGCAGAACTCCCCCCGCCCCATTTCCTGGATCAGGCTACCTGGGCAGCCTGCGTAACGGAACTCATAGAAGAGTAAAGAATGAGCTATCACAGGCAGGGAGAAGGGCCTTATGCCCTGTGCATGTGGGGACCCAGGTCTGAGCCTGGCCCTATGGTGACTGATCAAGAGGCTCTGACCCTCAAGTGTCAACCTGCAGTGACAGGGGCCACCTTGTCCTTTCTAGATGTGACTTCCTATTCATGCTACAAAGCTGCACCAGAGTGACCGCTGGCCATTTACTGAGCACTTACCACATGCTAGTTTACATTCTAAGAGCTTCACACACTTCATCCAATATTGATACCTTTGAGTGCCCTATGAGAAGGGTACTACTATTATCTTCATTTTACAAAAAGGAGAATTGAAGACACTAAGTAACGTGCTATAGGCCACACAGTTAGTCAGTGGAAGAGCCGGGACTTGAACCCAGACAGCCAGACTCCAACCTCTGCAGTAATTGTAAGGCCAGCCTGTCAGCACACAGCCAGTGTGGCTTTCAGAGCTGGTACCATCCTGGCCCAGGCTCGCTCCATGTTTGTGACTACCCTCCATTCTGGGCTTCCATCACACGGCGGGTGTCCTTCCCCACTCGGCCCCTCACTGTAGCCGGGAGCGTCAGTTCCAGCCACACGCCAGCCCTGGCCCAAGCAGCTCCTGTTTTATTCCATTCAGGAAGAGGGCGGCAGCTGAGCGAAGCAGGGTGGATTTGGGGTGGAGGGCTGGATGTTAATGCTGGTATTGGTTCTTTTCTTAAAATTTTTTTATTTATAGATTCTAGGGGTAGGGGAGAGCATGAGACATCCATTTGTTGTTCCATTTATTTATGCATTCATTGGTTGCTTCTTGTAGGCTCCCTGACCAGGGATGGAACCTGCTACCTTGGCTTATTGAGACAATGCTCCAACTGACTAAGCTACCCAGCCAGGACGTTGTGTTGTTTTAATTCAACTAGCTGAGCCTAGCCTTTTATTAAATTAAAAGTGCTTCAAAAACAAAAACAAAACAGAGGCCCGCTCCCAGGGCCCCTGAGGGCGTGGCTTTGTTCAGAGCAGCAGGGTCCTGGCAGGAGAGGAAGAACAGGACTCAACCTGTCAGTCGAAACGGCCTGAGCTTGGCTTCCACGCCGCCCTGCCCAGCTTCAGTGGGCATGCGCGAGGGCAGCGCCAGCCGGGCAAGCCTTATGCAGAAAGGCAGAGGCCGGGCACCAGGGGTCCGCCGGGCCAGTGGGAGGGACAGACAGGGAGGGACAGAGAGGCAGAATGGAGAGCAGGGGTGGGGGCCAGAGGGACAACAGAGGGCTGTTTGATCTGCACCTGTCCTTTCTCTTGGCAGCAACAGTGAGGAGAACCCCAGCAAGGACTCCCAGCCCCTGAGCAGCCCCTGCGCCCCAGAACCGAAGGGCAGTGGCAGGGCCGTCTGTCCCCCAGGACTCTGCGTGCTGGGCCACGGGCTGCGACGGGAGGCCAGTGCCGGCCGCACCCAGGACAAGCCCCAGCAGAAGGAAGAAGGCAAAGGGTGACCGCCAAGCGTCAAGCTGCCCCATAGCTGGCGGGCCAACCAAACTCCTCCTGAGGTGTCCTGGAAAGGCCTGGAAGGTACCCTGCCCAGCAGGTCTGCTACATTATAAACAATCACTGTTTTTGGTCCCAGCTCCTGGTTTGCCTTGGGGCCCAAAAGTTAACTAACACTTTGGATGCCACAATAACACTCTTAATCCTTCAGGTACTGGCCTTAATTTAGAGGAAACATGAGTTTATTGCATGCTTGATGGGCCACGTGTTTCACCTGCCTCAGCCCCTGACATTGCTTCATCCTCACCATACAGGAAGCAGATAGCACTCTCCTGGCTTTGTGGGCAAGAAAACCAAAGCATCCCCCACCCAGTGACTTGCCTGAGGTTGCCCAGCAATAAAGTGAACAGGTGTAGGGGCGTAGAATCTGTTGTCTTTCATTACGTCTCATTGCTCCCGAATGTCCCCTCACTCCATCAGCCTAAAACAGATACTGCTGTGCAAACAACAGGAAAGCTTTGTTTTTTAAGGTTAAATACTGGCACAGCATTCGGGTCCCCAAGAAGAACTTTGATTAGAAGTTGGTTGCTCCAGCGATGAGAGCCCCACCCATTTTCTTGCTTCTCCTCCTTCCCCAGCTCAGCTCCAAAGCCCAAAAGGCAAAGTTCCCGGCCCACTCAAGCAGCCGAGCCGTCTCTCAGGCTGGGTGTCTCAGAGACGCGTCTCAAATGCTCTGCCCTTCGCGTCCACATGCCTCAGAGTGAGTGGGCACGGCCAAGCCTCCCAAACAAGGCAGCCTATTCTCCAAGCACCACGGGGTCTGGGGCCCAGGTGGGTGTGTGGGTAAGGTCCCTTGTACATGTGCCATCTCCCCCCAAGGGTTCTCGGCGGCCTTTCTCTGGGTCACTGGCAGAACTTCTGCTGAAGTTGAAACTGAAGTGAAGAACGGTCATTTACGCCAAAAAGTCACGTCTGCCAACGAGCTAGATATTTGCTGCAGACCTTGGAAGTTTTCCACTGGAGGCTGTGGAGTGCTTTCTATTTAGAAAAGAATTTGCAGTAATTGGGTGATTCAATACAGGCTCCGTGGGTAGTCACAAGACAAGAATTCTCACTCATGGGTTATAGCTAAGAGGCACCCTCCAGATCTGCCGCAGAGCTGATTTTTTTAAGTTTGGGAAAATTATAGACTTCAGATCCTTTCTTGTTGAAATAGATCATCACTCAAGAATACGTTGCACTGCATCCTGGGGACTAAGCAACCTCCTCCGAGGTGGGCATGGGTCCAAGTGAATGAATCCCACCTTGATCTGTCCAGTTATTAAAATAGGGGTGACAGGGATCAAGTCTTCAAAGGCACCCAAGGAACAGAGACTAAACTACGAAGAGGGGCCACAGCTGACTCCCGTTGGGAAATGCTTGTGTACACCCACCTGTACGCTCCCGTTTGCTTGTAGCTGCACTAATCGGCCGAGCAGAGCTCAGGCAGCAGCAGGGCCGGTTCTGGTGCCCAGCCGCACCCATGAGCATGTGGGTGGACCCTGGGAACTGCCTGGGCTGCAGGAAATGGGAGGAAGTCCAGCTGCCCAGGCAGGGCAGGGCTGAGGTAGATGTGTGAGAACATCTGGTTTGGGAAACCTGCTTGATACAGAGCTGGGCAGTCTATCTACATGGCTAGGCCTGCAACGTGGGGGCCGGGCAGGCTGGGCACGCAGGAGGCAAGCAGTGGGGAGCCCCCTGGTGCTGGAGGTTAGGGGCAGGATTCCTGGAGGGCTGAAGAAGCAAAGCAGAACCCCAGCTGCAGGGAGATGGGGCAGGGACATTGTTGACAAAACTGCGGCACAACATGGCGGCATAACCACAGGGACAACTAAAGGTCTAGTGACAAGAGCCAGGACAGAAGCGGAAGCCAGATCCACAGGAAGGCGAAGTGAATCTCAGCATCCAGCCCAGGCCCCCCCCCGTCCCACCCCCCAAAATGGGCCTCGCCTTAGAGGTTTGGGGCTGGCCTGAGCACAGGTGGACGCTGAGTGCACCTGGCGCAGCAGTGGGAGCTGCAGATGGGCGGCTGGGAGCCAGGCAGCGTATTCTATCATGGAGGGGGCCCATGTCAGGGAGAGCACCCCGGAAGAGTCTGGAATGAACCATTGCTGGCCTCCATGGGCGTGCCTGGTGGGAGGCTCTCTGCAATGAAGAGCTGCCCCTCCCCCAAGCTGGGCTGGTCAGCAGCAGCCAACACCCTCCCCTCCGAGCTACAGGCAGGATTCCTGCCACCAGCTGGGAAGCAGTTCTTGCCTCCTCATCCCTCTGCGTTACTGAGCAACTACCTGTGCCAGGACAGTGCTGGGCTCTGCCGGGTATCCCCCCGGTGTGGTGTAATGAGAGGTCCCAGGAGCCCACAGGCTCAGGCAGCAGGGATGACAAGCTCCTGTAGACATCCTATTGCCAAAGGACCCGAAGGCTTCAGGAATCCCAGATCAGAGTTTCTCTGGGGAGACAGGGAGGGGCTGGGAAGGCAAGGGGCTGGGAGGCAGTAAAGGTCAAAAGTGAAGCAGGGCCAAGCAGGCATTGAGCAGATGAGTCCAAGATGTGCTTTTTTGGCTTCCATCCTAACTACCAGATTTAGCCCAAATTATTTGCAAAGGATGCTCTGTACAGAAGAAATTAAATTTACCACAATTGACCACTTCTGTGGCATCAGCCTAATTTTGGGCCTCCTGGAGACCAGGCCTTTCTTTTGTCAAACACTTGTCTTGGGTTCTGTCTTAGAGAGCCCGCTGCCCGATTCCACAGCTTCTCACATGCTTCTTACCCTCCCCTCACGAACCTCGTCCTTGTTCCGTCCAGTCCACTTCCTGTGCTCAAGGAAGAAGGGAGGGCTGGGTTTTTGCTTTGTTTTGTCTCTTTAAATTAATTAAACCATGGACCCAACCCATGGAGAACTCAAGAGCCTGTGCTTTTTCTTCACAGGGTTAGAAACAAAGGAGAAATGTTGTGTAGGAAGACAAAAGGGAGCCCACCACCGGAGATCCATTTAAAGGGTACATAAAACACCCATATTTTTATTTGGGCCAACTCCCCCCAGTGGGGAGCATACAACCTTCTTCCTCCACCCTCAGAGGACCCCCAACTGCAGGGAGGGAGGGGTCAGCCAGCTCTTCCTCCAACACTTTAGTCACTTAGCAAAGAGTTCAGCCCCAGGGGGAAACACAATTCCCTGGTTTCCTCAAAAAGATTAGTGAAGAAAAAAAGCAAATATAGTATTCTAGGGGAACAGTGATAGCTTTTCGCAAGTATAAATACAGTCTTGAAGCTGAGCTGTAGCTTCCCATCACACTGTGGGTCTGAGCGGTTGTTTACTATGAACAGCATCTACTTTCCTTCCTCACATCACATACCCAGTTCAGAACCTAAAACAATCCGTGTGGAGAGAAAGTTCAGGGCGGACACACCAAAGAGACTCTTCTTTCATTATGAGGAGCTGATGTTTCACAAGACTTTCCTCATAAACCCTACAACAGGAATGGAAGGGATTTTGAGAAATATATTCTTTTTTTCTAAAATAAGCCTGTGATTTGCGTGTATTGGGGAGCCAGTGCAGTGAATTATCTCAACGTGCTTGTCAGCGGATCGGCTGGGTGATGGTTTCCAGGCTGCCAACCCCCATCCCGTCTTCCAAAGACGAGCTTTTCAGAGAGAATCTATTTTTTAAGTAGCTCCACCACAAAGTCAGTGTTCTGGGCCTGTATCAACAAAACGTGTTACACTGTGTTCTACTGTGCGTTGCTCTCTCTGCCCACCTGGAGCTGAAATAAAGCTCCATCAATCCATCCAGACGGTTTTATGAAATGTAATTAAAGATGCGTTACACACACAGAGGAGGAAACAGTTAATTCGCTCAGCACACTAATTCCTTTTTACAAAGGACCTCAGTCACTGCTGTCTTGATGACACTCCTGGGCTTCAGAAAGTAACTTGGCTGAGAGCCTGGGGGCTCTGCATCTGGTGGCCACGGAACCCTGCTGATCCAGTGGCCCAGTTCCGAAGGCTGTGATTCCAGCCGCCCTGAGGTCTAGCACACGCATCAACCGTGTGTTTCAGCTGTCATGACGTCACTAGCAGGATGCAGGTATTGACCACAGACAACCCGGATAGGCCTACGCTGGAGGAAGAGGAAAGAAACAAGGGGGAGGAGAAAAAAGGAGGGCTGTGACGGATGTGACAGTCCCCCTTGGGAGCCAGAGCTGACCACACTCCTCATGGTTGGAGCGAGGACAACTTCATCACCCCGCTCTGGGCCTGGCTCCCTTCCTAAACCATCTTCCGAGCCCCCTTGGGGAACTGAGCTCATAACCTCGCTGCCATTTTTGTTTTTAATGTCCATCTCTGACATCCCTGCGCATTAAGATTATTACTGAGAGAAGAACTCAGTGCCCTTTTCCCCTCGTCCTAGATCTGCGCTTTGATCCTGGGAGAAAGTAAGAAAGAGCCGTGAAACTCAGCCAGCGTGGACCTCCATGTCCAAAGGATTCCATGCCTCTCAAGGTGGAATAACTCTAAAACATTTTGCTTCCAATCACAACGACCTCACGTCGAGCATACCAAACAGGAAAAACAAAACAAAACAAAGTAAGCTTAAGAAGCTCCCATTTATTCGCATATTGAGTCGTGGGGGATCTGTCAGCCAGATGGCAGCAATGACTTTAGTGTCTTCTGAACCACAGGTTTTGCTGGGATGAGGCTGAAGTTAATAATTATACCTTTCTTTTGTGGCAACACTACTTTTTCAAAATACAGTTATCTATATTATTTTATTAGATCATTTGAAAATCCTACGCTATGGAAAAAGCAAGTATTTTTTAATACCTTTAACAAATTAAAAAAGTGAGGCAAGAAAGGTCAAATGTCTTGCTCCAAAGACACAGAGCCAGGTACTGGGAGAGCAGGTCCCCTAGCCCAGGGGCGTCTAAACTTTTGGTGTCTCTGGGCCACAGTGAAAGAAAGAGTTGTCTCGGGCCACACATTAAATACATGGCGACATAATCACACACAAAAAAAGCTCATAGTGTTTCAACTAAACTTACGATTTTGTGCTGGGCTGCATTCGCAGCCGCCCTGAGCCGCCCGTGGCCTGCGGCCGCCCGCCCCGGGCCAGCCTGGGCTCTAACGCCCGCTGCGAGCAGCACTTCGTTACCCTTGGGCACCAGCCCACAGCCTTCTTTGGAAGAAACTGTCAGTTTTCTCAACATTTACAAACAGGATATTCTTTTTCATATCCAGCCAAAGCCCAGCTATCATCTTAGTCATTCCTATTGCACTAATGTGCATGGACATGCAAAACATAATATCCAAAAGAATTTTAAAAAATAAGTCCCTTTACACACCTTAACCGTCCCCCATCCCTCCCACACATGCACACACAAAACTGCACATATAAAAAGTTTTTAAGGAAAAAAGTAAACTCTTTTCCAAAAATATCTTTATTTCTCATTGCCATGAAGCCCAAAGGGGACTTGCAGGTGAGACCCTCACAGGAGCAGATGACACAGGACACAGGGATGACACCTTACTGCCAGGGGCCCCGAAGTGGTGAAGGCCAGTGGATGAGACTAAAGGGAACACAGACCCTGGGAGACAGATCGCCTTCCTGAAAATTATTCATCTCTTTTATTTT